AGAAGATGCCAGATAAGGCACCAAAGGTGACAGGATGCATATGGAATCTTCTTGTGTGGGGTGATGAGACACTTTGTAACAGGAGGAAGGATTTGAAGAACAGGATTTGACAGGTTAGTTGCTTGGTACATAGGGGAGGAGAAGCAATTTCTTGCGTGTGGAAGTCAGGATTGGGAGAAGGCAGCGAAAAGGGTGATTCTGTGGGGAACTCCTGAGCAACATACACACTTTAAAGTGATAAAATCTGTGATCACAGTTATCCAGAACACTTCCACTGTGAGAAGCTGCAAGAACTTGTAGCCTTGCACATTCTGTTGGGAAGTGTGTCTTTATTGATTGGGGTTTTTTTTTAAATAATTTTTTGTAAATATTTAATTATTTTTAACATATCCTGCTTATTATTTATTTTCCCCCCAGAATCTTGTCAGTACCTTCTTTATATTTCTCCTTGTGGCATAAACATGTGCTGTAAATATGCGAGACATTAATCAGTGATTTTGACAGCAATTTTTTGGATTGCTGGGGAAACCGAAGTAACTTCTGCTGCTCTCAAAGCAGATTAGAAAAGTAATGATCACTGTGGACATGAACTGGAGAGGGAAAGTGACAGTAGGCTGTGGTGTTTAAGGCTGGGATGAAAAGAGGGCTTCCAGCTTTGGGAAGAAGTGCACCCAGAACTTACCTCTATTATGAACATAAGAAAGTTGAATCAATGGGTTACAAAATGTAGACTATGCAAAATGGTCTCAGAAATTTTAGTTCTCATAGTGGAACGTTAGAAGTTTCAGTCACTTATGCAACATTCTAAGAGTATGCTACATTGCTTTTGTTTTTCATAAGTGTGAAATGGAGTATTAATTCCTGGAAAGGTAGAGTGTTAAGATGTATCTTGGATCTCGCAGATGTGTCTTAGGCAATCAGTGTCCATGTATGCGTAGGCTTGCATATGTTAGCATGTTTTCTCCACTCTGAAGCTGAAACTTCATGCTATATAGAGGTTATGTTGAAAGTAAATTTACTGTATGCTTTTCATTCCATCATTCAGAATCTCTGCTTCTGTGGGCTACTGCATAAATGTATTCCACCAATTTTTTGTATGTGTTGAGCTAGTTTGTAAAAAAAAACCAAAAACAAATAACCAAAACCCTCAGAGAATTGCAAAAAATATGTTCATACAATTATACTGGTAAAAGCATTTCACAGAACAAAAATGAACTTCATTAAATCCAGAAATCTGTTAGTTGATACATAGCTTTCCTTTTCCCTCTCAACACACAGAGTCAGTAGCTGGTGCATAATTAAACATAACACTGTAGTTTCCACTTAGATTGTACTAGCCCCTGTTTTATAGGTTGATTTTTTCTTTTAATCTGCAGGACTAGCCTAATGTCTTTCCTAGGGGATTTGTATTATCCCCTACCTTCCCCCAAAATGAGTTACATTATTTGGAGCCCCTACAGGTAAGGGAATTAGCAGCACCTCCAGTCTAAAATGTGGATATTTTTATGCTATCATATCTTCAGGCGATTCTAGCTTAAAATATAAATATTGTATGAGAATCAAGTTTCAATAAGTCACTAACATAGTCTCTGATATAGAAGAGTGATTGCATTAAAAACCCCAGAGAAACACACAATTCCTTCTGTGTTGCAATTCCATGAAAGGGACGAGTATTAAGTTCAAAAGTATGAGATTTACAAAGTATTTTTGTTAAATCTATGCAAACCCCTGTGTGGATACTTCTTTTAATCACTTTCATAGCAATTTATTTTAGTTAAAAGAATATAAGAAATTTCATATACAGTTGAAAATTGAATTTAGTGGAAAATACTACTTTGTGAATGTGTATGTATATGAGGCCTGCATTTTGCCAACAGAATATGACCAACATGAACAAGTAGTTGTTGAGTTGTGAGTGTAATACACGCTTCTTAAATTCACAGATGTACTTTCTCCCAACTGGTCATGTTCCAAATTTTTCACAACTGTTACAAACTTCTAATACGTGAAATGAAATTACTTAAGTAAAAAGGTCTAATCATAAATGCTATTAGGACCTAAAATATTAATTTCTTTAGCCTGCAGAAATAAGAAAATGTAAATATTGAGGCTTCTCTAGCAATCAGATAGGGAAAGCAGAACCATTTTCACTACTGAATATAAAATGTAATTTACATGGAAACTTTGTATATTAGCAAGGCACACCACCCCCCACCACCACCCCCATCCCTAACTGTCTTCTCAGCTGCAGCACCTACATATTCAAGAATTTTAAGTTTTCATGTTTATGTGCTTTTTTTACCTTATGCTTTTAGCATTCACATTGAGCTCTTACAGCTTGCGTGTAAGAGCAAATCTAAGAGAACCACAATGTTTGTTAGAAGGTCATGCAAGGTAGGTCATGGTGCATAGCATAATCACTATGCTTTATTTATTGACATGTTAGTAAGTATATTATATATACTGTTGATGATTTGACATTATTCTGGTGCATATTCAAATTATAATACACATAGGCAAAGAGATTAGTGTAATTTTTTGGCAGAACAGTTGCAGAAAAAGCAGGATGATTCTGAACAGCCTTTCTTGGGTGATCTTCCTAGGCTATTCTGTGCATAACTAAGTCTTCTAAAACTGCAGCATGTCCAGTGATTCACCTACATCACTAAAAGAGATGTAGTTAGTTGGATAAGGACTTTCCCTTGATATTTTTATTTATGCCGTTATTCAGTATCCATTCTATTAGTATACTTCAAAACCACAAAAGTTCAGGAAATAACCCCTGCCACCTAATCTCATTTGCTATCACTTGAACAGTAAGGCAGTTATTGCAAAATCATAACACTTCACTGTTCAAACAGACAGGATTTTTATGGCTCTCCAACTGAATTTTGCTCCTGCCACTTATTATAGAACATTACCTTTAAGAGAGACTTGCAGCTGGTACTGATGACAGGCAACAAGACATTTGTCACCTATCCTCTTGGGCAACAATTATCCATGTGCAAACATAAGTTACCAGATGCTCGTTGGAAGGAAAAAAAAAAAAAGGCAACTGTTACTTGTTAGTAAACAAAAGTGTTCCTGATTTTGTTTCGCATACATGAAGTTTCCAAAAGGCTATACTGGGAACTACATACTCACAGGTAGGATGTGGGGAAGTTTTTCATGAATACTGAAGCAAGTTAGGAGCTGCAGAAATCAGTAACTCGGAAATTGTCTCCTTTAAGATTTAAATGAGATTGCATCTGGGCAGATGATACTGTTGAGAGGCCCAGAATGTGCTTCTTCCATGCAGTCTTCCCTATCATTCTTTCAACATTTGTTATCTCCTCAGTTGTGCTGTTTCTTTCTGAGGACACATTCAAAATGAAAGTAAAGGGAATGCCTAACAGGACTAGCAGATGCGTTCAAGCAGTATGCTTCCACACTTTTGCAATTTTAAACAACTACACTGCGTCTCATGGATAGCAAGACAGTTAACATTTGTGCTATCAGTACCAACTCATGTGTGGCTTTTTTTTTAAATTTTATTTATTAAAAGAACAGTTGCAAACATTGATAGAAAAGAAGTCTTAAGGATTGTTTAATTATTTAACATGGCAATAATAGCTGCCATTAAGAATATTTTTGACTAGAATGTGTCTGAGAGGGCAAGTAAGTGTTCATATGACAACAGCAGAATATCTTGTTCTGTTCAAGAAGCTAGGGCCATCTTACTGGATCTCAATTTCCAGGAGAGTGTGAAAGCAGAACACTCAGCTCAGCTCTTACTGCTTTGGTGAATCACAGCTATTTGGTGACAGGACCAATAGCTCATTTCCTAGATCACTCTGCAATATAAAATTGTCAGACAACTGAACTTATGTATTTTTACTGCACTGACTATGCCTTCATTAGAACCAACTGTTAAGACATGAATAATTTTTCACCTTATTTGAACTACCACTCTAATCTAGAGCCAGCAAGTAACTATGTGGTAACCAAGGGCTGTAAGCTTAGAAGTGACTAAACAGTAAATGCTGCAACCTTGTTAAATCATGAAAAATTTATTTTCATTACATATATATGAAGGTAAAAGATTTCAGTCAATAGTGTTTTGAGCAAGCATTTCCAACATGAGCCTGTTAGTGTAGCTAGGCTGAAACTTAATGTAAAGTTAGTGTTTTGCCTTTATTTAGTAATTCATTTCTAGTGTGTATATACAGAATTAATTTTCCTGTTAGAATACCAGAGACAGTAATATTGCAACATTTACATTCCTCATATAAAATGGTGTAATGTACATTTTCAGCTTAGTGTAGATATATAAATATGTACAAAATAAACATTATTGTAATTAACATATTCAGACCAGGTATTATTTAGCAACATCAAAAGCAGATGCACATAGATTTAAGTGAAAATGGTGAAAAACACCTTTATGACATTAGTGACCATTATTTGCATATATGAAGTAGTACAGATAAAGGCTTCTCTTTCAAGCCTTCTGTGGGCATCCAATAACTTTAGTAAAAACAAAAGTAATCGAGAAGTATAAGATAAATTTATATATATGTGTGTCATGATCAGATGGTTTACTAAAGTCCATCTTGATCACAAATGGATAACAATGTAAAACATACACATTTGTTCAGAGCATAAAATATTGCACAACAGCAATTTCTTTTGAGGAAAATAATTCCTGTGTTTGTGAACAGCAAAAAATGGTTCTTAGGCATTAAAGAAATGATATATTTGCAGTTTCTAAACCAAGGAACATTCAGTAATACTGTCAGAACTGTTATCCATCAACTTCTTCCCAGCCTGTTTTATGGCAATGGTATGTCATTAGCAAGATTTGGCAAAGAGAGAAGGCAGATAGACAGTACATATATATATTTATCACAGGCCAGACCAGATCCAATAGTTACCTAAATCAACTGCTGGACAGTTTCAGTTATCTGATAATTTCACCCTTAAAGAAATATGAAAGTCTTCAATGCTTGTCCAAGTGATAATCACACAGTAGTAGAGTAAGATTCCATTCGTCTCTGCTGGGAAACCATCTTGTCTGAATTCCCAGTCTGAAGGGCACTTTCCTCAGTATCACTGTCACTGCTGTCTACAACTGTGTGATCCAAAGCCATCTGACCAGTCCTCCTGTGTAGATGAAAGTTCACCCCACTCTCCTGTATGGAGTTAGTTATAAAATCTTCATCAGAAGAATGAAATGATTCATCGTCTCCTGTGAAATGGTTGACAATGTGAATCCCATCAAAAGTGGGTTGGTCTGAGAAGTCTCTCTGGCCTTTTAGACATTTGATCTGTTAGAAAAAGCAGAAGTTAACAGTTAATCAGAGCTGAAGAGTCCAGCCGTAAAAACAAACAAGAAAAACCTCAAAACCCCCACATTTCCAAAAAATGTCTCATTGAGCTCTTACTGGATTAAATTAAATGGTAGATCTAGAAGTAGCATATTTGATGATCACTGAAATTTAGATGGAATCAGAACAAAGGGACTTCTCACTTCTGGCTGCCCAGAGACCTTGAAAGAACATCTTAAATAGTACTTAGAATTTTCCAGAATTCTCCTTCTACCCCCACAATACTTCAGTTTTAAGGCTTAATAATCAAAGTACATAGAATCACTAATGACAGATTCCTCCAGGCTGTTTACTACATCTTTAATATCCCCATGAGGATGGTTTATAGTTAGTTTTCTAGAGTGGCCTATTTGTTTTGACAGCACTTTTGGCCTTCATGTCTTACAGCTCCATTCTTTCCCTTATCACCCAACTTCTCACTTGAGCAATGCCCTCCCCTATCCCAAAGAGCAGTGTCCCAAGTGAATATTGCCAGTTTCACACAGCCACAGAAGAAAAGAAAAAAAAAAAAACCCAGAGAATACGCTTGGTTGTTTCTATACTGCAAGATCGAGAGTCTTTTCATTATCTAGTTCAGACCCAATAAGATTCCAGATCAAGAAGTATGACAGAAACCTCTTTGTACAGCATAAATAGATTATAGTTTCAATTTTAAGAGAATACCAAACAAGACAAATATTGTCAGACATAGACAGATATGATAACATTTTAATTCAAAATGCACTGTGGAGTATTACAACTATTACAACCATGCATTCAAGCTATTCAAAAGTAAAAACTAAATCTCTGAAGTCTGGCAAGTCCCCTGTTAATTTAGTGAAAATAACCACAACTTGTGGAAGTCATTCCTAAGGTTATATTTTTTTTTAATTTCATTTTGGTTAGCTTTTAATAGCAACTACCTCAGGGTCGGTTTGACAGTCTAAGAGTATTAAGATAAAAAATCCTAAGGATGCAGAAAAACATTAAAAAAATGCATTACAGAAACTTCCTAATGTCACTCTGGAAGCTTAAAATGGATGCACCAAGTGCTATTTTTTAAGCAACTTTTCACAGTAAGAGAGACCTGGAAAATAGAAAGAAGAAAAAAAGCCTGAAGAGCTTCTTTACACAAATCTATTTGAAGTTTCAGAAATTTGAAGCAATATTCACTTTGATAAATAAAAAGTGCATGTAGGTCCTTGCTACAGACACCAATAGAAGATTTTACCTGTCCATCTGGGGAAGAAGAAATCTCTGTACTTACCATGGGCTTGTGCAGAAGATGAGAATAAAAAAGGGGTAGAAAAAAGATCACAAGAGTCATAATCATGCTAGAAGCCATCAAATCTGATGTTAACAGCATGTAAAAGCTCCAGCTTTTAATGTATATCAAAACATCCCTGTTTGGAATATGAGTATGTGCTGTAGATCTAACCCTTGTTTGTAACTACATGTACTGATGTCAGGTTTTTTGCATTTTCTTCATGTACACATAGGCTGCAGTTGTTTCATGAGGAACTTGCTCACGTAAAGGCAAGCAAAACAAAAAGTTCCGCACTTTTACAGCATAATTCATGATGTAAGCAAAAAATCAGCTTATGCCCAATATTAGATATTGGACAGTAACATGTATCTGGAATTAATAATTTTTACTAGCTTATATACCTAGATACAGAAAGCCTGATACAGAGATTCTTGTGTTATTTAGAAATATTATCCCTAAAAAAATCCTGCAATGTGATCAGATTAGCTGCCACATGAAGTTTCCAAAACAGCTATCAATTTTAGTCACTAAGAAAATAAAACACAGAAAAACAGAACAAAACCCACCTATTTCTCTCCACCCTCACCACAGAAAAAAGGCTCTGCTATACAAGTGACTGCAAATTTTATATTAGAGTAAGAAATTATATGCTTTTAGGTCTGCACAGTTAAGCCATTGGTTCACCTGAAATTATAAAGCTGATATTCAATGTTAGTTGTTTTGAACATTCAGAAAGCCAAGCCAATGACCTCAACTGTTTTCCTGAAGACTTCAACACATGATACCTTTAGATGAATATATTTAGGTAACATGACAAAATCATGGCTTCATGGTTTTAGGCAGTTGCCTTTCCAAACACCAAATGAGAGTCTGTGGAAAATGCTGTTAGTGAAAAAATCATGAATAGACACAGCCTCTGCCAACTCCTAGTGAGTCTGGGAAAACTGTGTGTTATCTTTTGTTATTCTAATGGAAGGATGCACAATCTCTGACCTTCCAGAAACACTTCTTTTGACCTGCTGCTTTACACTTGCTTGCCCTTTTTCTCAAGTACTGCTTACATCGAAGGGGAACCAAACTGCTTAGGAAGAAACATGATTGTACTGTACAGAATATATACAACAAGTGGTCATTTAGTTCCATAATTTCCTCTGTCTTCTTGAAAAACATCCATCTCAGCCAGAAGCACAGACAAACACCATAGCATAGAATTTGTTTGTATTATGGGGATCAACAGGCTGGGTAGCAACACTGCTGAAGAGGACATGGGGGTCCTGACACACAGGAGGCTAAATGTGAATCAGCAGTGTCCCCAAGCAGTGACAAAGGCTGACAGTATACTAAGCTGCATCAACAAGGGCATAGCCAGTACATCATTGGAACTGATTCTTATCTGGACTGCATCTGTCCTATTCTGCACTTGCCTCCTCACCTCTGCACCTCACTCCTTCCTCAGTACAAGGTATTCATGAGTAGGGTCAGTGGAGAGGCACCAAGACAGTTAAGAGGCAGGAGCTTATGCCTTAAGGTAACAGAACTAACTGGTTCTTTACTGAAATGCTTGGTGGGAGAAGAAACAATGATCATAACACAAAACACAAGGTTGTGTTTGAGCACGAAGGGAAAATAATTGCTTAAAGGGTGGTTAAGAATGAGAACAGGTTGTTCAGAGACTTTCCATCCAGTGAGTTTTAACACCCAACTGACAATGCCCTAAGGAACCTGCTTTGAATTGAGTGTCAATCCTGTTTTGAGCAGGCTGTTGGACTAGAGGCCTCTCAGGGTCCCTTCCAACCTGAAAGATAGATTACAGTTCAGCGAGATATGTGAAAAGCACAGCCAGTGCAACGCATATTACTGTTCTTATGGCAGCCATTTTGGGTTTGAGAAATTTAAATACTTTGTACGTCCCAAAATTACTGCATTTCTTAAAAATGTAAATGCTGTCATTTGAACCCAAATGCCTTTACATTAAGCGTCAGTACATCAATTTATCACAAAACTTAGTCTTCAACAGAATGTTACTTTTATTTTACAATTAGAAATGTCACTTTAATCTTGAAAATATTTAAAACAAGTTGTTTTTCAATTGAAGGTAGAACCTGATTTTCATCTTAAATTTCTTTTAAACATGAATATTGATGAAAGCAACTAATCTTCAAGAAATTAAAAGTACCTAAAAGAATAAGTTAGGAAGAGTTGTGCACTATTTTCAGGTTTTGTTTTTCAGAGTTAAAGATATATCAGGGGCACCTCAATGTAAGATTTGTTCAGGAGCATTTTTGAAGGAGTCTGATTATCTGCAATTTCTGTTGCAGCAGAAATGCTTTGTAATGCTTCTCAAAGCATTTGGAACAGCTCATAGACAGCATGCTCTCCAATGCAATTAGATGCCAGTGGCTAATGCCAGCTTAAGGCTCTAAAACAGGTTTCTTAAAATGGAAAGTTTTGTACTCTTATATAACTTTAGTCTAGCAAATGAGGCTCTGGACTTCTTATAGAAAAAGCAGTATCTTCTTTCAAGATGGGAACATAAGAAGTGTCCTAGTGGCTCAGGCCAATCATCAGCCTAACAGTGTGCCTCCAACAATGACAACAGGAATTTCATGTTGTTTTGTTTTTAAGGGAAAGCATAGGGATATGACCAATTTTTGCAATCCATTCCCTTCATATTCCCAAGCTCCTACTCACTTGCCCAGAAACTGTTATAGCAGACACGAGTGCATCTCTTCCTTGTTGTATCAGCATCCATTTATAGACCAGTTGTCCATGACTAATGATTTTTTTTATTTTTATTTTTTTATTTGTTGTCTACCTCCACAGCTTCCTGCAGAAGTTCCAGAAATTCCTTTACTTGTTTTAAATTAATCTCCTACTTGTTTCAGGAATTGCCTCTGAATTCTAGTAATACAGGAATGCAAAAAGCAGTTCCCCAATCATGACAAACTTACATCATAATATCTCCCTCAGCCTTCTCTCTCAAACAGATGAGTCCCAAGCCTTTTTAGCCTCTCATGAACAGGCAGTGCTGAAGATCACTGATCATTTTAGTTGCCCTTTAACTTCTCTACAGACCTTCCTTAAACTCTCTACATGCATCTTGAGGTGCAGACACTAGCCCTGCACCAAGGTTTTGTAGTGGCAATATAAACCCCATTATTTTGTTTTTAATAGACTTCCTGTTGATGCCCAACATTGTCTGGTCTGTTTTGGCTGCTGCTGCACACTGAGCCAATAATGTCAGAAGACTCTCAGCAGCAACTCGAAAATATCTTTCCTGATTTGTAACTACCAATTCTGTGTTTGCCATTGTGTAGGTATGGCTTAGATTTTGCAATTGATGAGTTATCTTATTCATATTGAAGCTCATCTGTCACCTTTTTAAGAGAGATTTGAGTTCTTCATCAGTGTTTTACTTGAACATAGAAAAAGAGCTTAGAGTAGGAAGTAAAGCATTATGTCAAGATTTTGTCATTCATGTAGCCAAGCATATAAAGATAATGGGAAATCAAACTGAGGACTTGAGGGGGCTGGGGAGAGGACACACGGAACCAACCCAAACACCACACCACCAACCACCTGCCCCCCGCCAAACCCTAGTTCTACTTTATCCTTATCATTCCACTTGAAGGAAAAAAAACAGCCCTTTTTCTTGCACTAGTGTTGAGCACAGTATGGACTTATGCTCCAGGGT